AGGGTTCTTCTGAGGAGAAACTTCAGCTTCTTTGCTCTTAAATGCCAAAAACCAATCTGGTCTGGATTTTTTTGGCACATGAAGCCATTGACTGATTCCAAGGAAAGAGTCTCTTTCTTCAAAGGCTTCCCAGCAGCGTGAGTGTGCGGCTAAAATAGAAAGTACATTCTTTATGCACCTTCTCATACGAACACATCTGTTATCATTGCTATTTGGGAACACCGACACTCCCCTTCCCGTCTGGTCCCAATCACCGCCTCCTGCAAGCTCACACAGAGACGCACAGCATCCCAGGTTTCCTAAACATTTTTTGGACCTGCCTTTGTGTGATGGGCTCGCACTGTGAAAGCTGAGATGACGGATCACTGAAGTCATTCGCCGGTATAGTTGTTGTAAAACCTCTAATTTTGTGCGGTCATCCACAGAGAGTTGGCAAAGAAATCTATTAAATGAGATTAAAAAAAGCTCACTTATGACTAAACATCACGTTCCATCAAACGGTCGTGTCCCGTGTCCACCCCTCTGTCCACACCCACTCCATAAACGGACACAAACCTGCCCAGCTGCTCATCTCTCGGTGATGTCGAGCACATGAAAGGGACCCTAAACACCTCCCTCTGCCCTCCATTAATCTGTCAAATCCAGCCAGAGACAGTGATGAAGAGGGCTCCTTCCCTTTAGTCTTCTTTCACCACGAACATCTGAATTGTATGGCTTCACTTATCTTCAAAAAGCACTACCTTGACACACAGACTCTGAACAGACATACATCATAGGAGCCTACAGATGTGCCCAAAACCCACCCAGGCATACAAACGAGGAGCAATCTTTTTAGACGGATGGCAGATGGATAAATAAAGATCTATTCAGCCTTAAACTACCTCTAAGAACGGCCCGTTTCTCACACAGCCAATACAGTCGTCCCGTACAGTTTGAATAGAAGCACATGGCTCGTACTACCGCTTTGATCTCTCTGTCTCGGCCTCACGCTGTTCTTGGGGAATAGGTCCCACAGTTGCACTTGACCCTGCCTCGCTGTCAACATGTGTGTGTGTGTGTGTGTGCTGAGACCACTGTTTCTCCCGACTTAGAAGACAAGTCCCTCCGTTCCAAAACTCCATCGGAATCTCTAACCATTTAAAACCAGCTCATATCCACCCACAAATCAGCCAGGAATCCGGCAGCTCCAGCGTCTTGATAAACAAGTTTAGAGCGTGGTGGAATGGTCCTTAAAACCTCAGTCAATCCTCTCAACAATCCCCGCTTCATTCTCCACTTTATCCTTGAAAGAGTTCTGCATATCCCAGCAAAACACCTCCCGGTGGAAAGAGGCACTGGGGCTCTGGCCACGATTGCCGTTAAGTCTGCTTTATACAGCCTGCCAGCACCACTTGCTAGCTGGAATACATCAGAGTACGTATGCCTGCATAAGAAAGTGTGAGGAACCTACAGAGTAGAGTGATCTGAGGTGACTGAACATCTTATTTGTATGGGATGGGGCCTGTGTAAGGAGAGGGCTATTCATATGTTCCAGCAGGCTTCTGGTGTTAAAATACAATAATGTGGTCTGATTGAGGCTGTGTCAGGCAAAAAAAGGAGTCTAAACAATGTATTTAGCAATGTATTCAGTTTATAAGCGTTCAACATAATGTTAAACAGTCTGAATGTTAATACGTCCAAGTGCCCAGATGTATGAAAAGTTATGTTTTACTGCCACCTACTGCACTGATGAGGAAGTGCTGCTGACATGGTAAACCTAAAACTCTACACCTCACTGCTGCTCCTCAGGCAGGAACAGAAAACATCTACACCTCTGAAACACTTTTCAGATTCTAAAGATCAAATTTATCAAAGCATCTTTTGACAGAAGAAAAAACGGCAAATCTTTTAAAAAAAAATCTAAGATATTAATAGAGAATTTCACATTTAAGAAAGCTCTCTCTAATCTGAGTTTAAAATATTCCATAAAGATCAATCTAATATACAGCCAAGTGATTTTCTTTATTTAATTGTATATTATTTGAAGTGTCAGAAGCCAAATAAAACTAAGTGCCTAATAGTAAATATACACATCGACAGGTTAGATGTGGGCTCACTCTCTTTAACAACACAGTCCAATTCAAAGCTTGGATGTCAGCCTTCTCTGTTGGATAAAGACCAGCTTTCCACAAAAGGCCCCTCAGGCTGAGACAGCACATCCATCTTATAAATGCAGGGTTACTAATGTATGCGTTTTTGTGACCAGAATACGCTCCAAACCAAAAATCTTTGAAATTATTATTCAATTTTAATGTCTTTTTTACAGCTGCTCTTCCAGAGCTGTTAGTTGCCAACATCAGCATCTATTTTGTTCTCTCTCTCATTTTAGAGTTACATTTATTCAGGAAGTGAACTACGAAGCAATCAGACCGTGAAACTAACTCGCTTGAGATGTCACTGATAATAACCAAGCTAATGAGTCTTAGTGAAAAGTGAAAATCCAGAATGAAGACTGTATCAGAAATCAGTCTGAGCTCTTTGTTCTATTCAGAGGAAATAAAGAGGAACATGGAGTCTGAAGAAAGATCACAGCGTTATTTCCGTTTATCAGTTTCATGGTGACTGCATCTAATTTATAGTCATCAGACACTTTTGGCCTCTTCTGATCTCCGTTACCGACATTCAACAGTAACTATCTTTATATCTAATGTCCTCTTTAGACCACATTCGCTTGTCTGTCAGTAGCAAAATTATGAAAAGTGAGTGTAACGGATGCTAAAGTCATGTGGGGGTCGTGTACTCCGGAGTAAACCTGGTAAACTTAGTGCATCTGTTAGTTAGAAGAAAAAACAACAACAAGCTGAACAGCTTTTGTACTTCTTGTAGCCGGTCACATCTGAATGAACTTTATTTAGCAGAATGAAACATAATGAAAACAATGTTTAAGACATTAGCCACAGATTAGTCAGAACACAGAAAAGAGGTGTCTATATATCCTTATATTCCACAAAAGACTATAGGTAACTTTTTACCCTGGAAACAACATAGGTAGAAAGAGACCTGCACTCAGAAATGACATAAAGGAACTTCTTCAGCACACACAGAGAACACACACACACACACGTGTATATATATATATACATACATACACACGCACGCACACACACGTCTCTTAAAGATAACACAAAACAGCTTACAATTGTAGTTTAAACAAATACTTGTTTCTCCAATAAAAATTAAGTGGCCCAGTTAAAAGAAAACATGACACAAACATTACCTTTAAGAGGTGACGCAATGAAAGAAAAGAAAAACTCTATATATCTTTCAGAGGAGTATGGGGGTTTTGAGGCAGATTTGGATTTTCCACCCCGCTCGCTGACGCTGTGAGCAGCGAGTCTCCTAAAACACGCTTTAAATCTCTGCTCCCAACACTGACCACTTGTGTCTACAAGACTGGTACTAGATCAGGACTTGAAGGCAACAGTGACAGGGCCGTCTCCCCCGGCACTGTGAACAGTACGGGGGAGCGGTCAGCCCGTTGCACTGCGGGCAGCAGGACGACTGCAGGGGGGGGGGGGGGGGGGGGGGAGTTCAGACACATGTACACGTATGGCTCAAGGAAGACACCTCTTTGTGTTAGGGCTAAGGAGACTGCGGGAGAAGAGCTGAGCACTTTACTTTGAAACGGAGGTGTTCGTTAGACGGCGGGATCTTATAATCCAATGCTTTTTACGTTTCGGTACGCGGAGGAATGTTACAGAGCAGATCTGGTTTTGACAGGTACGTCACGTGTGAATTTCGAAAAGAAGACAAAAACGATGGAGAGAGTGTGTGCTTGATTAACATCTGTACAGGCTGACTGACTTCACTCTTTCAGTTTACGGGTCTAGCAGAAGGCTATGTTCATCACACAGTCTTTGCACATATTACTCCCGGGTTAGGGTCAAATCTGAGTGTTGACCGGACCTGTGTGCTTTCGAAAACAAGCTGAGGGCTGCAGGTCATCTATCAGATTCCCGAGTCTGCCTCAGTGTGTCCCAACGCACACTAACCCTGCACACACAGTGAAGATCTAAAGATTAATTATTCACCTCACAGTCAGAAATACCATTAGCAGCTTCCGCCTTTGCTTTTGGAATCCACAGAACTCCAGTTTCAAAAGTTATTTTGGAGGGGGAGGGGGGGGGGCTTCACACTGAACAAAACCGGAATGAATGATGCGAAACTTAAGTTCAAGACATGACACCCTTTGGTGTCTTTGATGGAATTAAAAACAAATACTTTAGGCGAACTGACACCAACAGAAAAATAACAGACCGGCTGCTGTTGTCCAACAGAACAGAATACCTTCAAATGTCAAAATTACAATCTGTGTTTAAACACGCATTTAAGAAATTGAATATTATCAACTTTTAGAAGTAACCTGATGCCATAAACATCATGTAAACATTGTCCTTACCCGCTGTAAGGGAATGAGGGATTTCTGCTACAGAAACCAGTTTTCTTGATGCATATGCTTAATCTGAGCTTTGAACGGGGGCTTTGCGAGATGGCGGGCTCATGACCGAAAACTTAAAACAGGTTAAATATTGCTTTTATTCATCTTCATGCACCTTTGCTGCCGTGAGACTTGCTTAGAAGCTTAAATGCATCATTTTCATGCTTTCCTAAAAAACTGGCTTCTTCACTAAACCCAAATGCTGCAATTGGAACACGGTCATCGACGACAGAAAACAAACAAAACGGGAAAAAAAAAAAACTTTAGGCTGCAGTGCTTCAGATATATTGCTAATACAATTAGAATGTGCCATTCAGTTTGAACTCTAAAGAAGGAGGAAAGGGAGAAGATGGACCTGCTTGTAAATGTCTTCGGATTGCTTCAAATGTTTCCCTAATGTCACTCCTAGAGTCGGAGGGTTCAGATGAACAGAACTATTTAACATGATTTCAGTGAAAGGAAGAAAAAAAAGAGGAGAAACAATATCCTCTGCACAAAAACCCTTAATGTCCCATTAAATTGCAAAAAAAAAAAAAAAAGAAAAAAGGCCAACCACCCCAACTTTCCACTCCCTCCTCACACTGACAGCACCCCTAATGATTGCCCCAGGAACTACCCCATAGATTAGGCTACATCTTACAAATCTCTTCGTCTCTTTACCACAGTTTTGTCCAAATAAATCTAAAGTTTGCATCACTGGGATGACTCGTGTGTGTGTGTTTGGAACGTTTATCTGCTACAGCTAAGCTAGGAGATAGTTTAGGTATATCGTGTACAACGTAGATGTTATATCAGTGTTTGGTTCTTTTTAAAATAACTTTTCTATACATTTATCAGCTCGTAAAGGCCTTGAGTGAAAAGAAAGTTTCCCCGACGCAGAAGAGAAAATGGCCCCCGCGCGGCGAGCGCTGTCCCAGCCTGTTTGGGCTGCTGAGACAGCAAGAAAAAGGCTGACCTTGACACCTGGCTATGTGGAGCAGAAAACTTGCCTGCAGATCTGCCGAGTAAATAGAATGTAGCCTTCTACAGAGATACATAGCTGCTAAGGCAAGTTATTTGTGTCCATGTGGATGTTTCTGTATTATACTCTTCAGAGGTGGAAAGGCATAATCTAGCTAGTAAAAGTAATGACTATGGATTCTCTGAGCCGTGTCCTAAGAAGACCTGTAACATGCGCGAGGTGCACCGTCATGCTAGAGAGAAAACAAATCTGAATTGGGGGATATTTAAAAAAAAAAAAAAAGGATTTAACTGTATCCAACTGGACAGCTAGGTGTTTCTGTTGAAAGTACAGTAAGTGGTGTCGATAGCAGTGCACCCAAAAGAAAAAGTACATTTCTATCCTATAAAAGGAATGTTATAACCGTGATAAAGAATTCCTGGAATAAGTGCAGGACATGCTGAAAAGGGATTCTGTGATGGCTGTGGGAGGATAGAACTTAATTGACTGAGAAGAATACCACTCTGGCCTGAGTCTGAGGTACAGTTGAAGCTGACCAAGTCCAGTTTCCGGATTTTCAGCTGACAGCAGGACAGCGAGTGACGCTGCTGGAGATGTGGGGTGAAGGCTCGTAGCTTTGGTGAAGCTTCAAAACCATAAAGGAGAGCACGAAGGGTGAGGTCTCCGACGTGGCCCTGGGCTGATTAGGAGGTCATGTTCTTGGTGCCCACGACATGTTCTTCATCCACGGCTTTCAACACAGACACCTCGACAGGGGAAAACCAGCTTAATGAGCATCAGATCGTATCCTTTTGGGTTTTGGGCGCAATATTACTTTAATAATTGCATGTTTATTTAATTATGGAAAGGTAAGAGTCCTGGAGTGATGCTTAACGAAGACTGCCTTTACCAACAGTCTGAGCTGCTTGACAGGGTTTTTTCCTCCCCACCCACAACACACGTACAAGACTTACCATAAACTGTTCTCCACCACTGAACTTCTTCTCGATTTCTTTGCCCAAGTCACCATCTGGCACTTTGAGATCCTCTCTGGTGTCCCCATTGTCGTCCATCAGGGCCAGGAAACCATCTGAGACATCGATAATCTAAATTTGCCAAGGGGCAAACATAAAAGACAGCAAGCACTCAATCAACACGCTGTGATTCAAAACCGAGCAGCGGGGACAGATTTAATTCTGAGCATCACTTCTAGGGATTTTCTGGATTCATTCTGCTGTACAAAAGCTGCAATCGCTCATGTAAAGCAGCATCGCTACAAGCAAAAACAGCTTTAGCAGATTAAAATGATGGCAAAGGGACCTGTTGCCTCCAGCGGAGGACACAGACTTTGTATACAGGCAATCATACGCAGAGCCAATCCTGAGATAATATGAAAATGAATCAGTGTGGGAAATTGTGATTCTACTCCATTCCACTAGTCATTACCGTCCCTCATCTCGAGGATCTATGGCAGGATGTCAAACCCAGGTTCCCATGGGCCTCTGTTCAGCAGGTTTTAGACATTTTCCTGCTTCTACACAACAGATTGTGATTGAATGGATCCCTTTAAAACATTGTTAAGCCCTGCACATGTCTGCTAGTGGCACCTTGGTGTAAATCAGTTGTTTTTAAGTATGGAAACCTGTAAAAACTCAAAGCCAACAGCCCCCGAGGACCAACTGGAGCTTCACACCTGTGATCTAAGGTATGCGAGAGATTGTTAGTCCCTTTCCAAAATAACTCCTGCTGCCGGTGCAAAGTAAACAGCACATACAATGGTTCAGTCAAAATTGCAATTATTCAATCAAATATATTCACTTCAGTTTATTGATTTGCGACCTTTGGCTTGTGCACATCCCCTTGCTTTGCGTAGCATGAAGTTGTGTCATCCGATGGTCTTCATTTCTAATCAAACAGTGCTCAGTATTTGCTGTAAATGCACCACAAAGCTGTATGTGTGGCTTAACTCCAGATAAACTGCCTGTTAATGAGGTAAATGTTGTACGCAGTTTAAAGAATGCATGCTAAAATTCCAGAAATACTCAAAACATCTATGGTGTTATCGCAAGGTAACAACTGGAGCTACTTTGATGGGGAATTAAGTCAGTATCATCATCATTGTCATCAGTTCAAGAAATGTCTTAATTTTGGATTGTTGCACAGATCAGTGTTGTCCAGATATAAAAAGGAAGGGAAAAGTATTTGAAATGTTTCATTTGGAGATACAAACACAGTAAGCAGGGAGACACTTTGAAACATAATTTCCTAAACAACACAGTGTGCAGCAACAGAATGGCCAAATCCCAATGGAAACCGTCTATCCACTGAAACAATAACTGTTGCCATATACATGTTTACAGAATGTCTGGCCCAAAACAGGTCTTTGTGGAAAGACTAGGCATACTGGCCAATCCAAAACCTGCTGAACCTCTTTAAAATGAGTTTATTCTCTACTGAGGACGGCTCAGCAGTGACGAAGGCCATACAACCCCTGCTGCAGCAGACAAAACCCAGTTTCATTTGGATTAGATTATACAAAGATAAAAGAATTGTGTCTGAAAAAAAGACTTTCAAACAACCTCTAGCTGATATTTATTATTATGGGATTATCTCACCTGATAATCTTTTCTTGCCACATTTGGAACATCCATGTTATGGGTAGATGGGCAGATATCTTCATACTTCTTCTGAGTAAAGATGTCGAGTCCAGTAAGGTGCACCTGGGAACACATTTAAAAGGAATGGATCCAGCTTCCTGCCAGCACAAGCGTGGAGGATAACACGAAAGTCCAGTGGCAAACAATATGGATAAATTACAGAAAAACAAACAAACAAAAAAAAGCCTGAAGCTTTGAATTCCAAAAGATGCTCAGATCAGTCTTACCTTAGCATGTCCATGCTTGCCAGTCTTGGAGGTAGACATTTCCACTATCTTGCAGGGACGCCCTTTCAGCATGACAAAGCCGTTCTTCCTAAGTGCAGAGCACTGCATAGGGTAGGTGACCGAGGCCCCGGCATCCGCAGTGGAGAAGTCATCATCTGCCATTATGGGCTGTCAGCTACCCCATTAAACCCAAACAAGTAAAGGAAAGACATGTGATAAATGGTGGCAGTGCAAAGTCCAGATTACACAGTACTGAGAACTGAAGCTGCAGATTTATTGTGAGCCAACTTCTATTAAAAGTAGGTGTCATGGTCTATTAACCCTAAAAATGCACAGTTTTTCTTAAATGTATAAAGCTGGTGAAGTAGAAAGACACAAAGATCGATGTATTTCAGAGACATGGAGAGGGATGTTTGGGTAACAAGCGTGTGAAGACTCATGAAATCTGACATGTTACACACAATCACTCTTTTGAAAGGTTAACTGGCTGACATGATAGTAAATCCAAAAATTGTTACAGAGGATTTCTAAACCCAATTCAGAACAAAATGGTGAGTGATTTAGATTTTTCCTGAGTCTACAGTATTAAAAAATCCAACAAAACTGACTCAAATACTCAGGATAATCTGGAGTGAATGTACGTCAGCCTTCATTTTAACAACGGAATCCATCTTTTTTTTTTTTTTTTATATAAAAAAATTATTTTTAATATTCCTCAAGAGAGGGGGTGATTACAGTCATAGTTGGGGGGGCAGGGGGGCTGTATTTGCTTTTCTTAAGAACCATAATATATTAGATTTTTTGCTAACTTTCCCACAGTTCAGCACGCATTTTGCCATTAGTTCTCCGAAAGTGTGTGTCAACACCTATCCAAGGTGGCTCAACCACTGCTTTGCTCAGAAGCTAACAGCTAGCCGATACTTCCCATTTGTTTGTACTCCGAGATGCTGACTTCGCACATTATTTAGCTACATGTTACGGGTTCTGCACCGTACGTGTTGAACAAGACAGCTGTCAGTGTTTTTTAGGGGAGTTTAAAAAAAGGCGCAATTTAGCCCCAAAGTGAGGGCAAAAAAAAAAAAGGAAAAAAGAAAAAGCTAAGGGACCTCTTAACGAGGCTACATGGAGGACGTGGCAACTGCGCCAGATCAGCATCTGACTCGGCAGCTTTACGCAGCAAGCTAGCTCCCGCGATCCCTCCTCGTGCATTTTCTGACATCCTTAGCCCCCTGCTAGCTTGCTAACGCGGGCGGACATCCATTGGAAACCGGCTGCTAATGTTAGCTAAACCAGTTCTCTCAATTGCCGAGTGAAGGCTTTTTATCGCCGCTTCTAAGTTACTGATTAACAGCCCGGAGAAAGCAACGCTCCCATTACGACACCCCTCATACGCGTAGCTAAAATAACAGGCGCCACAGCCTTACTTGAACAGAGGCTTTTTCGGTCAGAGATGTTACTTTTAACTTCTGTCCGTTTAGCTTACCTTCCGTCTTGCTTACGCCAAAGGAGGAGAATCACTTCGCATGCGTGAAGCGACTGAGAGCCAGGAGGGGTACAGATGAGGGGGGTGGGGGGTACAGGTGGGGGCGGTGTGCTCCACACACAGCCTACTCAGTGATTGCTGGTGGGAATACCGTTTAGCAGGCAATATTTTTTTTAGTTTTCCTTGAAAAAGAGAACGTTAGCGACTTTATATTTATATTCTCGTGCATGTTAAGGCGACCTGAGCATAGAAAAAGTAGTCCTCCCTTCCACAAGCTGCAGCCTTTGTCACATAAATGTTGTCAGGCTGCTAATCAAATGCGTAACATGTCATAAAAACTTGACAAGGGGCAAATCTAGATAAGCGTGTTTACTTTCGCCGACGCACAATCACACCAGCAGAATTTATAGGTCGAGATCAAACAAACTTTTCCATCGCGTGGGTCATAATGCTCTATCTGCACCTCATTACGTTAGGTTTAGATTTCTAGCAACAAATTTATTTCTGCGCTGAACAGAGAAACATGCACAGTTTTCTTGGAAATGTTAGAAGGGATTTATTTTCCTCCACAAAGTCCAGTGTTTGAGATATTGCATCACAGCACAAAAAACGATTTACTGCGATACACCACATTCTCTCTTGTGCTTGTAAATGAGAAATAAAACAAATATGGTAACAAACGGTGTTTGCACAGAGGGGGTGACACAGTTTAGTTGATTTGACTTGAAGTTTGTTTTCATTGGTAGCTGTGTAAAAGAAAGATTGTCCCTGGGGCTTGATAGATTCATACAGAAGCAGATTACATTCCTCTGGCTTCGCGAAAAACGTCCCTTTTATCCATGTGCTCTGGGCACACATAAAAATTATCATCAGATGTGTCTGCTCTGGTCTGATACCTTAATAATATCTGGAACTTATTCTCCCTAAAAACATATCCTCGCCTCACACAGAGTTTCCAGAATGCCTGTAACTCCCTTGTCAATCATTATGAATCTGTCCATTAAAAGTCAACTAAACGCTTGTCAAACTGTGCCATAAAAGGGTTCCAAGTTTCTTTATCAAATTTCTTTGTGACATATCTGACAAACATAGCTCCAAAGTGTTCACTCTCAGACATAAATTCCACGTTAACAAAGTGCTGATATGGACGCTTGAAACATATTTCTTTAGCACACAACTGTGAAGACAGCCTTGTTGTGTCAAACATTTATACATATACATCATCCTGCACTGTTAATGGAAAACCCTTTATTTAAGTAACAGTAAACAAAAGAAATTTCTGACAAAAAGCGACACAAAAAGTTCTTCCACAGCAAAATGATCAGTGTTTTTTAAAGCATATGGGCTGGAAATATCTGTTTTCTCAACCAAATTGACAAAAGTGAGTCGGAGAGTTAAACATCACTGAAAAATAAAAATAAAATGCTTTTAAGGTCAGAATAACTGAGGTGAATTGGAGAAATGTTTTTCCAGTCAACAATCACAATACTGCAATAAAAGTCTATATTTGGAATTCATGTAAACTTTTCTCCACAGAGAAGGGATATTTATGGTCAAAACTGTAATCTTTTTCTCTGTAAATATGCTTACTTTTGTCTTTAATGAATAATACAATGGAAACCCACAGGGAGCTGCTGTCCTAAGCATCCGTTGACGCTTTAAGCTGCTCCAGTTCAACACTGTCTTTTGGAATCTTGCGTCCCTTCTGGAAGACAGCAGCGATCTCCTCAAAGGTTTTGCCCTTGGTCTCGGGGACCCGGAAGTAAATGTACACCGTAAAGCCGAGAAGCAAGACACCGAAAAGGACGAACACGTAACAATCCAACCATTTCTGATCAGAAAAAAAGAAAAGCAAATGGGTTATCAGTATTGACGCTCTGAGGCATTGGACCTATAAACAAGAGATGTTGCACGCGTTAGCCTAAAAAAAATACGTGGTCCTGTTTCTGACCTGTATATATGGAAAGGTCATGCCTATGATGAAGTTGCTGGTCCAGTTACAGCAGCCTGCGATGGCGATGGCTGCAGGCCGAGGCCCCTGGCTGAATATTTCAGCCACTATGAACCACGGAATGGGACCGGGACCGATCTCAAAGAAACTGACAAACAGGAAAATTGCTGACATGCTGACGTAGCTCATCCATGAGAAGGAATCCTGGAGGGAATAGAGGTGTTGTTACAGGAAAGCGTTAAAATGGGCCTCAACTCTTCGTGTATTATTTGTAGGTTGCGTCAAATTTACAGAAAAAAAACCTAAATCGAGCCTCAATTCGAATTAGATTTGTGCCGGGTTCTTGTGGGGAACCCGGGACGGGTTGCTAAACTCAGACTGACGCTCGGACACATGACTGAACGCACCTGGAGTTTGAGGCCCAGTGTCATGGCAAAAGCACAGCAGCACATCCCTCCCAGACCAAGCAAAGTCAGGGTGCGCCTGCCAGTCTTATCCACCAGAGCAACCTGGAGCAAAGATGTGAGGAGCAAAAAAACGTTTCAGTTTGATCCGAATATATGTCCCTAAACAAGCTGAACATTTTGGCGCAGTGAGTCAACAACATTCTCTCGAGAAGCTGATGCTACGTGGAGAATGGCGAAAGATCTTGGTTGCCCCGAGGAGTAAGTACAGATAAAATGAGTTGGTTATAGCCTGCAGACAGAATAATGAAACGAAATGATCCTGGTTTATGTCCACGTGATTTGCAGTGTGGCCACTCACAGACACCAGAGTGAAGACCGTGTTGATCACCCCGACTCCTATGGTGGCATAGATAGGCTGAGCGACACCAGCTCGTTCAAAGATGGCTGTAGAATAATAAAAGATCTTGGAGAGAAAGCATATAGGCAAAAATTATCCAGAATTAAAAAACAGTTAGAATAACTGTATGCATTTTTATGTAAAAAATACAGTTCTCATTTTTTAATAAGTTGGTACGGAAGTAAAACACTTGACCATGCTCTGACAGTCAGTCATCATGAAAATGGACACATTTTGAATAAGAAAAAGTAAAAAATGAAGAAGATTTTTGTAACGTACTGCATTAATGCCAGACAGCTGCTGGGAAAGGTGCATCATGAGGGCAACGACTAGCTGCTGTCTGTACACAGAGGAGAAGATCTGGGAGAGCAAACAAGAGAGTAAAATATCTTCAAACGGTTCTGTATAAAACATATCGCCTATGCAAATGCAAACTTTTTTAGGGAGGATGGACCCTGGTGCTGGGAGGGACCCCAGCACCAGGGTTTAATTCCAAAGGGAGATAGTCAGTGTAACAAAGGTGACAAACAAAAACCTCTAGATAAGCACTTGCAGATAACCGCGTATGACGGCCTATAATATAAAAAGGGTTACGTGCAATAGGTTGCACTGAATTTTGAAGATAAAATGAATTAAATGGACCGCAAACAATCTGGCAGTGAACCATGAACAAAATGGAGAGCATGTAATAAGTGAGCGGTGATAAGATGAGCTCAGCCTAAGAATAATTAGATAAATGAACACAAATATAGGGGGGAAAAGAGGAAGCAGTTGCAATGTGTGTTTGATTTGGAATTAAACAGGACGTGCAATTGCACCTAACCGGAGATGAGCGTAAGGCAGAGAGTGATAATGTGAAATTTGACATTTAAATTATATTTACTGTTATAGCAACTCAATTAGAATGTCTAAATTTTATAGCTTATATCTAGATTAAATATTTGAACATGGTCTGATTTTCATTTGGGAGATGACCTTGTTAAGTCAGATTTATCTGTGCCCTGTTTACAATGATCTGTGTAATAGAGGGTTTTTGTCACCCAAGGATTTCTAAATGTGCACCAATTAAGAATATGTGCATGTCCACTCTCAGAAAAAGAGCATTATTCATCTTTTTATCCATATCCATATCTATCGTGTTATGAGTGTTTCAAACCTTTTTGTTTGGAATGTTTATCTATGACCAAATAAAGAATTATACAGAGATTATGTTTAATGTACAGAGGCTTACCAATGATCGAATAGAGACCCTTGGCTCTCTGTCTGCCTCATCTTTCTCTCTTTTCATTTCTTCTAGATCAGGAGTTGGATCATATGCCCCCTTCAGACGAAGCAGGCCTGTAAAAAAAAAGAAGAGAATAAAGCAATGTTAGTTCAAGCATGAGCAAAAAGTTGTGTTAAGTGTCTCCTTTGTAATGACCACAATGATCAGTGAGGGAACTTCTGAGCTCCAAGTTAGTCCAACTGTTTTGAATGAGTTGGTTCATGACAAAGCAAAAGAAAAATAATTGTTGTAAAATCCAATTTCCTGAGTAGTTTGCAGTGGTTGCTCAGTCCTCTTCTATTTATCTGGTGGATGTTTCTGACCCTGCCTTACTGACGCTGGAGACAGTGCACTATCAATTTAAAGCCCACATTCTCATCCGTAGCTCTGGTGGTTCAGTCAGCTCATACCGTTTTCATTTCCAAATAAAAATAAAACATCCAATGGAAATGTTTGCAAGATTACAACTCTGTTTGTTAGAGAAACCCAGTTTATCAGTTTTATGTGCAAGAATACCAATAGGGACTTGTAAAGTTAATTTAGGCTCACACAAAATGTAACAATTTTAGAGAGGGTTGAGGCTTATTTTGTGTGCTGTCTTTTTGAGTTGATTCACTGAGATTTTGGAGATTGGATATTACATAATTAGTAAGGGAAAAATAAATACAAATGTCAAAACGTTTAAATGTGTTTGATCCTTACTTTTCCTCGCCTCTTGCTCTTTCCCAAGCAGGATGTAAAGATACCGAGGGCTCTCAGGGCAAAGAGGCAGCAGAATGCATTGTAACACAGCAGGAGCTCCAGAGAGACCAAGCAGCAAGGGCCACATTTCATCATTACCGAGCACAAAGTCCAGGCCAATTACCTGAATCCAAACACAGCTTCTTTGGGTCACATGATCAACATGCTAGGATGGTGCAATTCACATGCCATGTGTGAGTGGGTGTGACTCACCTGGCTGAGTAGGATTCCGACGACAATAGCCAACTGGTGTAAGGTTCCTAGAGCACCCCTGTATGCTTTGGGTGCGATTTCTCCAATGTACATAGGAACTAATCCAGATGTCAGCCCTGGAGCAACACATCAAGAGCCAAAAGACTGACATTTTCTTCTAGATTATGATACCAGGTGAGAAGTCATTTCTTTCCCCCAAATAACCACAACACATTTGATAAGTTGTTAGCCTCGAATGTACCGCAGTAGAAGCCCATGACGGCTCGACCCGAGATGACCATAATGTGTGGCAGCCACATCTTGCAAAGACCCATCAAAAGTCCAGCCACAATGGCGAGAACATTGACCATTAACATGCCCTTCACCCTGCACGACAGAAACACGGACGCTTGATAACCAAACATATACCATACACCAACCCACGTAAATCAGTTTTTCTTCTTAGTTTAAAGGTTATTACGTCCATTCTGTCTTACCTCCCTCGCAGGTCTCCCACAAATCCCACCAGGAAGGAGGAAAACATGCCACCAATTGAGAAAATTGCCACTGACAGTGACCAATACATGATCACGGAGGGGTGTTTTCCTGCATCCAAGGCACCATCGTCTTCTGTGCCATTTTCCGAAAGAGCAGATCTCTCTGACCACACACCCAAGGACTTCGCATAATGCTTTTCAATGACCTGGGACACAGATGTGATTCAATTAGAAGTAACTTTGTCACATAAAACCAACACAAATTGACACCAGGGAGAGAGCTACCATTTGCATAAGACCTACATAGCTCTCGGATACTGTTCATTAACAAGTGGCACAAGTGGTGTCTGTCGGTGGAAAGTAAAGTCTTTTACCCACATTGACAGGTCGACAGTGTGCACTTTGAACAAACCTTAACATCACTAACAACATCATTTTATTGAATAATCGGGACAATTAGTGAAAGTGGAAGATAACAGAGTTGCATAAGCAATAAAAGTGAGATATGGTCTCTGTAGGTACCATCAATAAAAGTAAAAAACAAAACATCTGAATGAGAGGATTGTAAAAAAAAAAAACATTGGAACAATCAGAAAAAAATCAAATCCTCCCCAGTTGTAAAGCATTTTTCGAAGTGCTCGGAGGTGATATGGACAAGATAAAGACAGGCTGAATTCTTGTGCGGCTATAAAGGAAGAATTTAGAGGAAGGGCAAGTCTCCCCGTGGCCTCTCAGAGTATTTTGTGACCTTGTGTGTCGGCAGAAAATGGCCATTTGTCTTATCAGGAAAACGGCTACGGAATAGGTCTGTTTTGACGCGTGACGGATTTTGACAGATCGGCAAGAATAAAAAAAAACCTGCATTACAGGAAAGAGCTCATTACCTTCTGCGGCGCGTTGATGACTCCGAGACTGTACCCAAACTGCAGGGACCCCAGAGCTGCTGTGAACACAGCCAGAGCCAGAGTACCTGTCAGCTGCTGCAGAGTGACAAAGTACTGTCATCAATCCCCGAGGAAATTCATAATGTAGCAGTATCGTCTTGTATTTTAACAAATAAGTTAAGCAGCTTGCTCAGAATATACACACTAAAATGTGTACACACTAGCCAAGACAAGCAAAAATGAACAAGTTCTTGAACAAGAAAAATTGACAAAAATTCCCTTTTCTTTCTACATTACTCAGTGATGTAGATTTATGTGGCTCAATATTTGATCAATTTATGAAATACATGTCAAAGACATTATCGCGCTGTACCTTTCCCGTTTCCATGATGGGTCCAGAGTGTGAGCCTGAAGGTTGGTAATGATCAATGAGACCTGCATGCCTGATCACACAGTGTCCACTCTCTAATCGACCAACAGACGCATGCTCACGCGCACATGGATATACACACATTTACACCTTCACTGGAAGATAACCCTCTGCTCATAAAAAAAAAAAAGACTTACTGTGATCAATACACAAACGCATAACTCGTGTTAAATTATCTTATCTGTATGTTTTCCATTGAAAAAAGACAAATCACAGGCTGATATTTACCACCTTCTGCAATAATCATAGCCTGCATTATCGTGCATTATGGTCAGTTTGCTCGTTATAGATATGACATTCTCTGTCATTTTTCTTTCCACCCCTTTTTCCTGCACTCAGACACCCTTTTAATTAATTTATTTGTTTTATCCACTGAAACATGCACACCAATCCCATCCTCCAGCTTGCTGTTAATGATATACTTGTGGGGTGGACAAAGTCTGAGGGTCGTTGCTGATACAAATGTGCGCGCCTGCAAATTTCTCTCATAACCAGACTTGTCAGAGCTCTGTATTGGTAGTTCCAGGTTTAATTTATTTCTCTCTTACAGCATCTCTTTTTACAAAACAGATAAATCCCAAAACAGGACATTAGTAATGCTCTTTCAAAAATAAAGAAAACACAAATTAAACAGAATAAAGAATACAGTGTATAGTCTTTGAAAGGAGAGACCTCAGCATTAATGACAGTCAGCATTTTCCAAACGGAAGAGTGAGTGCCAACGGACAAACACAGTAGTAATGCCCCATTCCCACCTGATCAGTAAACAGACACTCTGACGTATGCATGCAAACCCAGGGAAGACAGTGGTTTTATCAGCTCTTTATTGCTAAAATGCTATCCTGTTTGCATCAAGGAAACTAATGTACGGCTGCACAGAAACAGCTACTGGATGGAGGTGGAAAAAACAGAAAAAATCCCCCAAAACCCAACAAAAACTTACAATAATTTGGAAGTAGGAACCTCAGTCAACCCATTAAAAAAGATCACTGAATTCATTGCTGAATGTGTCTATACAATGCATCACGTTTCATTTGTTAAACACCTGGGGAGATATTTAAAACAGACTTTTTTGGGTTCATTTGGTTGTAAACTGTGTGCTGGCTGAGTGTGAAGTTGATAAGTAAATAGCCAGGATTGTCGAACCAAATTGAACGATTCAAAAGCAGCAAAACAGATGACAGATTTTTTGGAGTCATTTAAAGAATTCTGAGGACTGAGACTCATTCTTTGAGCACTGAGATGTCAAAGCGCTTGCTTTGCTTAGATATGTTTGTGTTTCATTGCTTTGTTTTGTTTTTTAAGTTGTCGAGTCTGCTTTTAAAGGAACATCCCACTCTAACATGATTTATTGGTGGATCTGCAGTGATCCAAACTGGACCAGTAAGAACCAGTATTTGCAAATAAAATTCCCAATGTGCTGATGAGCTGTACAAAGTAAAGGACATGGTAGGGGTTTTATCACTGCAAATTGTGTTGCTCCTTTCAAAGAACAAATCAAATCTTTAAATGATTAATGCAAATCTGCATTAGAGGAGGAAAATAACATCAGCAACGTGTTTAAAGTTAGACTGCAACACACACAGAGCCCAAAAATCCTTGTTATGTAACCACATACATAAAGTAGTAGGAAAGAAACAAACACTAATCATAAAGTGAGCAATCAGCAATCTTTTGGCCTCCATTTTAGTTTTGCTTACATCATGCTAGGCACTGTACAAACAGTTAGGAGCCAAACGTCTGAAAAACCAAATGGGGTGGATTTTGATTCAAAAGGACACCATGGTTTTATCAAGAGTGGTTTCACATGCGCACAGTAATTTGGGACGAGAGCTCGGATCCTGGTGAGGTCAATTCAGGATGAGCATTGACGTCTCCTACCCCCCACACTTTGTTTCTGTCAACTGCCCATACGCGACTGCGTTTAAAGAAACATTACACAAAAACAACCGCTTATATTGCCCGTCTCTTTCACACTTGGCGTTAAGAAACACCAAATTACAACCTTCATCCTAACCAGGTAACATAACAACTCTGCATGTAAACAAACTCAATGTGGCTTTGTTCGCATCAGGTCAAAGTTCAATTATTGGACTCTTGCGGGACATTGATTTCTTCGATTCAGACTTGATCTGAAAGGGTCCCAATTTCAACATCAAGTCATGCACACGGCATACACACACACACACACACATACACTCTCACATAATAACACTTACTCCTGATTTCAGAGACAAGGATGTGCTGTACATTTTAAACTTCAGAGACTGACTGACTCCAAACTGTTACACGGAAAATGAACAGGAATTGACAGAGATGAACAAAATGACGCTCACATTGTTCATTTAATATTACAGTATATCTGATGCAGCACCTTCAGAGTTTAAAGAAGTACGAGTGATGATGAAGATGATGTGGGAGGAATGATGGGACAAGGAAAAAAGGGGGGGAAGACTACAGGACAGACCAGCGGTTTCACTTTAAAGGGACAAAGACGTCATACTTGCATATTGTCACAACACACTTGACAGCAGAGTGTGTCACTGTATCTCTATCAGTGAAATACGATCAAAACAGTAATTGGCTTTAGTCGGAGCGACAAAAGATGGCACGGGGAGGATGTGGAAAGGGCGGAGGGGTAACAAAGAGGGAGAGAAAAATCAATTCGACTGTCTGCTTTCAATGGAGACCCTGCAACCAGATTTGTCATTTTACAGCTGTCCTCCTAGCACGGTCTCATTAAGTAGTATTTAAATTTAGATGAAATTCTATTCATACTTTTCTCCTCCACCCACTGAGGTGTAGCTCCAAGGAAATCAGCTCAGACAAGGCCGAGAGGAGGAATTCAATAGAGGAACTAAGGGAAAGGAAGGGAAGGGACAAAAGGGGAAAAAGAGGGAGGAAGATGTCAAGTGGATGACTACGGATCTTTAACACTTAGTTTGTTTGGTAAAAAGGGGAGTCAAAGAAGAAAAAAAGGTTACAGAGAAAGAGAAGAGGAGAATATTTGGAAAGTCAGTGGCACCAGTTTGCTAGTCAGTTGAGCAACAATGGCTTTCTGCAGGACCCGACTCAATATAGGGTAGCTTGTATCTCCATATGCGTTTTCTACTTCATACGAGTTTCTCGAGTGTTATAAGAGTCCACTTATGGCCTTTGAGTTGATTGTGTCCACGTGAAAGATGTGCGGTGGGCCAAAAGGAAGTTGTCTGGCTGGCTGATGGGAGCGTGAGGCAGAGCAAACAAGAAAGACACATCACCAGTTCATCATAGAGTTTCTGTTGAGTGTCATGAAGAAAACTTGGCTGCTACCTCCCGAACGCACAGATGCAAAGAAAACCTGAAAAGTAGAACAGAAAAAGGTATGAATAGTGAGCCCAGCCTTCCCAGAGAAACATTATTCCTACTTTTTCTTGAAAGTAATGTTAGCTGATAAAGCATGACGCTACTATTTATCTATTCCATATCACCAAAAATGGACATTTTAAAAGTGTTTTTACGTTTTTATCTTTTACAGCAGCACTGTAATTCATCATTTTCATTGATGTTACGATGACTACACAACAAATAAGGTACAAAAAGAGAGCAGGCGTTACTGTGCATTACCTTATCATTCCGCTCACACAGGAATTTGAGCCTCTGAGCTCTCTTGTGCATAAAGACTCCATCCAGATGACCCGTCTCCACAGAGCGGATTTCTATTGCTTTCTCACCCCAGCCCATAATCTGATTTGAATGGATGTAGGCTGAAAGAAAAAACAAGACGATGCAGACTTTTCTATAAAAAACAAACAACTAATGAATTGATACAATGTACCATCACTTCATCATATTTATTCTTTTTGTTTTTGAGGACTATAACAGTACCTAGTTTGAATAGATCACTGAACAAAAAACGGTGGATTATAAGAATCCATTCTCATGTCATTCACTTGTGTTCAAATATCATCTCCACATCGGCCACCAGAGGGCAGTCCAAGTCCAAGTCTATCCATCCATCCATCCATCCATCCATCCATCCATCCATCCATCCATC